CATAAATTGGGTGGATTATCCTCTCTTAAAGTAAAGTTCGACATTATTTTAGCTGTTCTTTAAAATTTTTGAAGTATAAGAATGACATTAAATATTAATATGAAGAGAATACCAAAATAACCGCCTCCTTTTCGAAATTTTCTAAGCGCCCGGGGCGGTTAATAGGGATTATACGGTATTAGATTTTTATAACAGAGTTTGTCATTGATTGACGCAAGGTCATTTAGAAAGTTCAAGTTCACATACATTCCTTAAATTTACAGCGTTTTTCATGGCGAAACATTGCTTGATGCAAGGTCATTTAGAAAGTTCAAGGTCACATACATTCCTTTACAGTGTTTTTCATGGTGAAACATTGTAAGTTTCTTCCTTTACAAGCCTTTAGGTTGCTTACTTGTATAACTTTATAATGTGGCTTGACCTAGACTCAAGGTTACGTCTTCCTATCCGTAGCTCCAACGGAAGACCTATTCGTTGCTTTGCAACGAGCTCGGCTCTAGTTGTTTTCTTATTTGATAATCAGATGTAGATCATTTCAACATAAATGTTATCACATGTATATTTCTGCCCCTTGTGTGCAAGTTATTTTTCTATCAAATATGTCGACATGCAAGATAGATATGTTGACATGCAACATAGCTACGTCAACATGCAACATAAATATGTTGACATGCAAGAAAATTGCAATAAAATAAAAATTATAAAACAAACTTCAGAAATCTCAAATATTGCCCACATGTGACATCCAACATACTAAATGCTACTTATTTATGTTAACATGCAAGATAAATATGTTGACATGTAACTTAGATATGTTAACATGCAACTTATTTATGTTGACATGCAACTTATCTATGTCGACATGCAACTTAGATATGTTAACATGCAACTTATTTATGTCGACATGCAACTTATTTATTTTGACATGCAACTTATTTATGTCGACATGCAACTTGGTTATGTTGACATGCGAGATAAATATGTTGACATGCAACTTATAAGTTGCATGTTGACATAAATATGTCGCATGTTGACATAAATAAGTTGCATGTTGACATATTTATCTTGCATGTCAACATAACTAAGTTGCATGTCAACATAACTAAGCTGCATGTCGACATAAATAAGTTGCATGTCGACATAAATAAGTTGCATGCCAACATAAATAAGTTGCATGTCAACATATTTATCTTGCACGCTAACATAAATAAGAAGCATCTAGCATGTTGGATGTCACATGTGGGCGATATTTGAGATTTTTTATAATATTTATTTGATTGCAATTTTCTTGCATGTCAACATATTTATGTTGCATGTTGATATAACTATCTTGCATGTCAACATATTTATCTTGCATGTCGACATATTTGATAGAAAAATAACTTGCACACAAGGGGCAGAAATATGCCACCATACATATACAATTATGTCGATAAGTTTTGAATCCTCTTAGAATACTCTAATAGTTGATTTTCTCATATTCTTAAAAAATTCACTGAAATCAAGCGACAGTTTTCTGATACTCACTTCTCAGCTGTCTGATACCCATCCCCCTTTCCCCTTATCATCGCCAGAAACCCTGATTACGATAGGGGAAGGGGGGGGGGGTAATCAAACTGGTCAGTACTTATAATGTTTCGTGCTTTTGACAATTTTTTATGGTGATAACAATAGAATACTCAAACGCTTCCCTGCTTAGGAGGGGGCGAGGGTATGACTTGTAGTTTAAATTAACAGACATTGTCCATTTGTAAATATAATTATGATTTTTTTCTCATTAATAGCTGTCTTGACGGCTATAACTAGATTATAAATTTATTATATTCTCTTTGTTGATGTGATATTTACTCACATCTTCAAATAAAGTTTCAGAATTTAATATCTTCAGAAATGCTGCGAATCTCTTCCTATTTGAGAATGAAATTAATCCCGTGCACCGTAAAAAGAAGTCAAAATATCAAAGTACAATTTACCAAAAGACTGAACTTTAAGAACGGTACAATTCGAAAATAATGAATAGTATAAGTGGGGGGGTCCTTGAGTAAGACGGAAGTTTAATTTAATAATATGAAAATCGTCTCCGCGTCTGCGAAAATAACAGCATTTCTGAATCAAGGTGTAGGTGTACGTATTTAAGGATATTTGTTTCAGACACCTTAAGATTTACGACGCTCGTATATATAGGATTTTGACACTATCTTGTGCAAAAAAGGACATGGGTACATGTAAATATACTTAATCCTTAAAGAAAATATCGTCTGAAGCGACGGTTCGGAGTCTGCATGTAGCTCTGGGAGAGGATCGTGCAATTCGCTGCATTTCATTTCCGGAAATATGCATAGCATTTCCGACATTTTTTGTTTCATTTCCGACATAACTTTTTTTTCATTTTCGAAATTTACCTGTGCGGCAATCCCATTATTTCTAAAAGTAAAAGAAAATGGGATTCTAAAAGTACTTTTACCAAAATATTAATAAAAAAATAATAATAAAAAAAAAACACCTTTATACACATAGCACTAAGTCTAGGTAAAAGAGTTCAATGAGCATAAAACTTTTTCACCACATTTAATGTGCATAAAATTAAATGTCAGTGACAGCACCAAACTTATGTCCAAGTCACCAGAAGATTGACAAAACTACATTTCAATGATTTTTTAAATAATTTATTCCTTTAAATTTTTCATAAGTAAAGTTATCAAATCTGGTACTATAGGTACTGCATATGTATTTGAAAAATGCCGGAAATGAAAACTAAAAAATGTCGGAAATGAAAAGTTGATAATTACCAAAAATTCCGGAAATGAAACGCAGCCGTGCATTTCGGCCGTGGTTTGCAACGATGAGAAAATATGTGCTAAGAAATTTTTGAAAAGGGAGAAAAAATACGAAGTCAAGAAGAAAAACAAAATTTTGATTAAACAGAGTATAGGGATGTTTGTATCCATGATCCAAAGATAAAGTTGCATATTTTTATTTTCAAAATAATGAATATGTCCTTGTTTTTATTCTTTTGATAACAACGATCTGGAGTTCAAACAATGCCACACAATTCATTTATGAAAATATCTTCCCAACTATTTAAATGATGCAAACACACTTGTTACGATATGAAAGAATTAACCAGATCACATAGAAATGCGAGATCACATAGAAATGTGCTTCCGTAAAATATCTGATCACTTAAGAAACTGATAGTAACGGTCATTTCTTCCGGTTAATCAATAGATAATTAATGACCCCTTCTTCTTTTTAACTTTGAACATGACATATATTTCATAAATCTAAAATTTGCAAATCGCCTCTAAAAAAACAAGATGTTTTAGTGAATCTCTATGACAGCTTTCGGCGAAGTTTCTCAAATGCAAGTCGAACTCTCAAGATCAAGGGATAAAAATATATACCAAAAGTAAGAACTTGGTTTCAATGAATATTACCTGAGTGTGAAATATGAAAATCCAAGCAATAACTATTAAAATGTTAATACTGAGGTCAAAGTTTCATGAATGAAGGTCAAAATCCAAGGTCGAGGTCAAAGAGTCAAATTAAAGACACATGAGGGGAAGGCCTTGTCAAAAGCAATACACGTGTTAAATATTAAAGCCCTAGCTACAATTGTTAAAAAGTTATGCCCAAGCAAGGTTTCATAAGTAGGTCAAACTCAAAGTTCAAGGTCAAACATTCAAAAATATTTAATTCCTTGAAAGGTCTTATCGCTTTGAATACACATATGATGTATGAAAGTCTTAGGACCAACTGTTCAAAAGTTATGGCCAAGGTTAAAGTTGATAAAATCTTCAAAAGTGGGCCAAATTCCAAGGTCTGGAGGTAAAAAATTTTGGTAACTATACAAAGGCCTTTTCAAAAGGAATACACGTGAAATATGAGAGCCATGGCTTCAACCAATCAATAACTGACATGATACTACTTCACTTAACCTTGAACTTTGACCCGAATTTGCAAAAAAAATTACCAAATTTTAACTTGGCCATACAAATCTTTTGAATGGGTTTTTGCTAGGGTTTTCATACTTTATGTGTTTATTCCTTGTGAAAAAACCCGTCATTTTTTACCCTTATCCTTTGAGATTGACCCATTTAAGGAGGCGGGGGGGGGGGGGGGGTGGTGGATTCCAATAAATTACTAGTAGCCAGATATATCTCATTTTAAAAAAATGATATCGTAAGCTGTCAACTATCATTCGGCAAAGAAAAATTTCATACATTTTAGTTTTAAAATCTGATAGTTTTTTGTCTTTGTATTGAGCTCTTCTTCTAAAGGAGATTAATGTAGTATGAAAATGGCCACAACTGCGCAGCCCTCTTAAAAAAATATCTATGGTCACAACTTTTGAACTGTGAGTACTAATGACTTTTATTTTTTATAATGTATATTTTTTTCTGTAATGCGAAGCTGTTACACAAATAAATATGCAAGAAAGATTAGATTACAATACTACTCTATCTTTAAGTTTGAATTTAACTGCAAAGAAATGAATTGTACTTCAGACCATATCGAACGATCAGAAACTCTCTATGACTTGATACATTCAAAATCTCCGTGAGTTTTCCAAGTGCTAAATGCCTCACTGGCAGGTTTGATTAAGTCTACAGATGGCTTCTGTAAGCATGGGGATTGATTTGAGAGAATGTCTCAAAAGCTGTGCTAAATCCAGGATGAAATCGCGATTTAACCAACATCATGTCACGATGCAATGAAACTTGATTAAAAGTATCGACTGAACCCGACATTTTTTTTCTGGAAGTACAGGTAGATTTTCGTTATCTGTCGCCGTGAATAAAAATAGCGGACACCGATTTACAAATCTATGTGTCCGAAGATATGTTGAAGGTGACGTTCGGAGACACGGTGTCCGTTCCCTGAGATGACGCGGTGTTTTCGCTGATTATGTTGTGTTTATTTTTGATGTGGACGTTTATTTTCCCGGTGACCGACAGTGTGGGGTTCCCGACCCGCTTCGGTTGTACCTTGGGAGCGGAATGTACTCCAGGTGTAAGTTCATTACAACGTTGTCATCGAGATAAGACATTAGTTACATGTATGGCAGCCCTGCCATTTGTGATTGTTCAGAATACATCGTATATAGGAATCTCAATTCCTACATTTATATATTTTTCAAAAACAGTCACTTGTAAGTGAACAGTTGCGGGAAGATCTTTTTTTACTGTGTTTTACAATATTAATGCATTGGCGATGCCATCCATTTCCATTTATTTCTTGTAGATAATTTATACCCTTTAACCTTAAATTGATTGTAGATTTCTAAATTCATGACCTTAAATTTCTAGTAAATAATTTCCATAAAGTACTTATTAGTAATATCTACAAATCTGAATTGATTCCAAGAATGACCATCTGATGTTATTTGTATGTCTGTTGACAATGAAGATAGTACGTAGTCATTTATCTATTTCTTTGATTATTGGACAGGTCTTATATGCCAGGGGGTTACCTATAAGGAATTAAAACTGTCTGAATCCTATTTTATTTTTAAGATTAAAATTTAAGAATGCATGGATGAATTTTCTATGCAGGTAACATCGTTTGAATTGCTATATTTTACCATCACACGGTTAAAACAATATTCTTGAGAGGTTCACAAGATACATGTAGAAAGCAAATGAAGAAATTCAAAATATCTCTGCTATATATTTTATTTTTAAAAAGTTTTATTGTGTTTAAGTTACAAGTCAAGATAAATATTTTTATCATTCAATAAGATTGTTCTCTATATATTTAAATGAAAAAAGTGTTTGATTTTATCCATTTGTACATATTTTGAGCCGTTCAGATTTTTTATTCTCGATCCATAAAAAGTGCCCTTTTCCCAGTGAGTGTGTTTATTTTCAAAGTAGAATGTTCCCCTTAAATTCAAAAATATAAGAGACAGAATAACAGAACTTGTTAGCTTTATTCCTCCAAAGAGAAAAAAAAGAGATGTAGTTGATAACAAACAACAGAAAGTCAATGTATAAAGAACATAAATTATAAGATTTTCCCAAAAGACAGCTAATTTTCTCAATTGATCCAATCCCCCAAAAATGTTGAGAACAAAAATATATCTAAAAAGATATTAATGTGTAACAAGTAGATAAATATTATAGTTTTCCCACCAAATTTATTTAAAATATTGCTCATTTCGATCGGAAGAACTTAAAACCAACTTAATTTCATTACAGAATGATCTGAAATGCAAGACAGATTATCGGGACGAACTGGATGACGAAAAAAGTAGGCTGGGTTTAATTTATTTAAAAAAAAATCTATTTAGAATAGTATACATTGTAACATACATATATGGGTACTTTGCATGCGCGCACTGGAGAATATATGATACGTTTTAAATCTTTCTTTATATATTTAACAATTAGCCCCAAGCTTATTTTGTTTTAAATATGCTGAAAAACTCGGATGAGAAACACAGCTAATCACAATATAATTAAATCGAAAGTTTAATTTATATTACATCTAGTTGGAATTTAAAACCTTGCTACGTGCTTTGTGCTTTAATTAAGTACTTATTTTGAACATGATTTATAATCATGACTTGTGAATATCATTCGAAAAAGAGCAAGAATAAAGACATTTTTCAAGATTTGGTACCGGTAAGAGAGAATTCATTTCATCAGCCTCTAAATCCGCCACTGATTTATTTTTGTTCTTGGTGTACTTGTCAGTGCAGTGGGAGTGGACGGAGAGCTTCGGTCCCTCCGAGCCGACAGCTCTACAGTCTACTGTCCATCGAAATGGTGACGTCACTGATTTCACGCTTCAGTGGAGAGGACCAGACGATTGTAAGTCATAGACCAAATTTATAAAGAAATGATATTTATCAGGAATTTGACCATTTTAAGCTCTGCAGATTCCGCAAAAGTGCGCATGCACTTTGATCAATACCCAAACAGACTGTGCTGATTTTTATTACATTCACATGAAAGAATTGGAATTTTTCTACATCAATATTTGAAATGGCAAGGTAACAAGGATGTTAAAAGAAATGTGTCCAATATCCACAGTAATATCCAAGTGTTCTCTCAATTATGTTCATGAATTTACATAAAATATCGTCTTTTATTAATTGGATACAGCTTCCGTTCGAGATTTGCAAGGATTTCTAATCGAATACGAGGATGGTGATATTTTTCACGAATTTGTTATGGATCTCCGAGGAAATGAGTTAGTTTTTCAGAGACCAAATGCCACGGTAGGGCAAAAAGTAGTACATGATATTATGTAATCTGTATAGTACATGTATTTATTTTTTTTTTTTTTAAAAAGACAACCCCCCGGAAAAGTAGTATTACATTTTACGCATGAAAATACTAAAGTATATACGAAATTTTAAAAATAAAAATTTTATGAATATCTGAGGCTAAGATTATTAAATAAGTGTGGAAGGGGATAAGGGGGAGTGTGAATGTGTTTAAAAATCTTATTATGTAACTTGACATGTCACTTTTTGAAATAGATAAATAAAAAAAAAGATTATTAAATAAGTATACTGCATGTTTATATGGGTTTTTGACAATGTAAAAGCGGTCAAAATATACTATTTTGCAATATTTCATTGGGAAAACACTTTAAGAGGTAATTAAATAAATGTGCTACAGCTTCTTCAAATCTGTGTGTGCTGTGAAAGGAAACCCACAGGAAATCATTCCTTAGTTAATCGATGCATATATGGAAAGAGAATAAATAACTGATTAAAAATCACTTTGATCAGAAGATTAAGACACACATACCCGTTCTGGAGCACTCAGTTAATAACATAAAGGTTTGACAATTGATTCCATGGCATATTTTCTTTCCTTTGTTCTAGAAGATAACATACCATATGGCCTGTCAACATAGCAACCCCTTCTCAGAAGCCGTTACGCTGCGTGTTTACGTCACGAGTCTACCAAAGTCCTTCAACCCTGACCTAACAGACAAGGTCATCAGGGGCAACATTTCTATATTCATTCCAAAATGTGAGATAAATTGCTTTTTCAAATTTAAATGTTATTTTATCTCAATTTTCATTATTTTATCTTACCACAAAAAAATCTTGTTCGATACCTTACATGTTTAAGATGCACTTATAGCAAGTTGTTGCGTCTTTAGTCCTATGAACGCTATTGCTGAGTGCAGGTTCATTGTGGGACGAAAAAGAGAGTATGCAAGTATATAAATTTAAATAATGTTCCTGGTTTCGTTCTAGATATATCTCCAAACCCTCCCAGGGAAGTACCGAGTACCCAGAGTCTCAGAACGTCACGGAACGAAGAGACGTTAACGACAGGAGTCGGAAATATTCCATTCATCATTCTTGCTATTATTCTGTCATTTATCGTCTTTCTAGGAATTCCGGCATTTTTAAAGTTCAAAGGTTAGTGACAAATTACAATCAATAGATACTTTTTGAGTAATTTTTCAATTGCAAGATATTGAATGTACATTTTTAATTTAATTATATTTATAGGAAAAGCAGTTTGGATGAAGATGAGAATTCTTCGGAAAAGACGAGACCCTGCCCATGTTTCCAGTCAAGGTATTTCTTCCTTTAGCATTATATTCGGATACTTAATTATAGACTAATACTTTAATTTCAAGGAACTGACTGTTCGAAACTTGTATCTTTAAAACCCCGATGAATTTTTGTATCATGTTAACATGGTTTTATTTTAATTTTTTTTTTTTTACAAATATTGCACTGAATATTACAAAATGGAAGAAGGGATTTAAAATATTTTAAAATACTTAAAATCTTACAATAAAAAACTTTATTGTCGTAAGTAATTACTTATAAATAATTAAATATATATTGAAGATTGTGATAAAGGATGTGGTCTCAAAGATACAACTGCAAAGAAAATTGTAATAACTGAAGAAACACAAAAAAGAATGTGCCAAGAAGTCTGTGTTCCATTTATTGTCGAATACGAAACAATGACGTCACTTCCTCATTGTGAACCGTGTTACAAACATATGGACAGCTATGATTCTGGTTTTCATTCGGATTGTGCAGTGCCTTACGCTATTGATTCAGATTCAAAATATGAAACAGAGAAAGAAATTGCAAGAGAATCAGAGAAACAAACAATGTTACCCAGGACTAGTCATGTGAAAGCGGAAGTCGATGGAGGGCGTCGTTCATTCTCGTTGTTTCACGCCCCGCCATCAGAAAATGGTTCAGTAACGTCACTGGATTCAGAAATCTTGGAGAGAGAAATTCTTCGGATAAATAAGATTAATACCATGGAAGATGAAAAGGGTTGACTTTAAACCGGATTTTATGTTGTACATGTTTACATTTTCCAGTGTAAAGAAATTGGAGAATGCATTTCTCCCACTGGGCCAGTTTATAATGTCTATCACTCGCCAGACTTGATATGGACTAAGTGTCAATGTAGTAGTTGAATTTCATATGTGTTGACCTCTTTTTCACAGGGCAACATATAAACTTCTCCACATTTTGCGTTTGACAATGAATGCAAACGCATCATTCTGTCGTATTTTGACGGATGTATTTCATTTTTACCATTAGGCTTTTATTTTTTAATTTGGCTACAAGTCAAAATGGCACCTGGTGAATTTACTTTAATTTAATGAGACTATGAAGTATCCAGTCTACTTGTTCAAAACACGGCGGATGTGCACGATCAACAGCGGATGCTTGCTCATTCCCAGTTTTATAGGGGAGGGTGTTCTTTTATGCCCTGTTTAGAGATTTTTCTTTTAGATCGATCACTTCATATCAGATCACATGTTATGATGTCATGAATATAAATCTACATTTATTTTTAAAATTACAGGGTATAAATTAGACAATGTCTTTTAGTCATTTTTTTTAACCTTTGTAAAATGGTATAAAACATTTATTGGTTTCTCTGGATTTATTATGTGCACATTTATAACGTTATATATTTGCGCTTTATTTATCTCGGCTTGTTTTTCTTGTCGAATGGTACAAAAAATGAATTTAATGTATTAGATATTTACTGGATTAATTAAATTTTTGCAATAATGGTATATGATAATGCAAATAAAATATAATAATTTAAAATAACGTTTTTGGTTAAAGTTATACAGAATAAAGAATATTTGGGTAGTAGAAAACATTGATTTTTTTCTCCGCTAAGCCTTACCCTCTGTCGGGTGAGAGACGTGTTTGTGACGTCCCACACATTTTATAAGCTGTGGAATACATTACCAACTAGATGAGCTATGCTGTAGCTCTTTTCCTTATAAGCATTGTTGCGGGACAGTGGTGGTGGGGATCATCACTTCCTGGACTTATCGTAGCTTCTATTGCACTTGTTTCGATGTCTTTTGTATTTGGTATCGTAAATTGTGCTTCGATTATGCATCAAAAACCATTACGTAGAATTGTGCGTAAGAAAAAAAAAATGGTCACATTAACTTAGATTTTAAAATGTTACAATCTGGAAATTTTCCTATTCAAATGCTAAATCTTTTTAACACACGGGTTATTGGCATAACAGGTTCTTGCAGAGTTTCCCTTTATAATCAGTTCCAAACAACAATCGTGAATGTAAGACGTCACAACGTGGCCCCACAAAGAGTGGTGATGGGGGTCGGGCTGGCTTTCATATCACTTTTAACTGTCCTTCGTCACGATGTTCCTGCCCCCTCTCTTTTGCCCTCTGGGGTCCAATGCTCTGTTCTGTCTGTTGATGACCGGGGTCTATTTTGCGATTTATGTACCAGTTTAAGTTCATTTAATTATTCTCTCAAAACCATTTAAAATACATGGTACATGAGGACAATGAAAAAATGTTTGTAACAGCATATATAAATTCAGGTCAGAGGTATAAGTATATGATATACATAATCAGAAAATGAAATTGGAGAAAAAGAAAACAGAACTAGAGGTACTGTGAGCGATGAGCTCACTAAATGATACCCCCCGCCTCCCATATGGTTATAACTGGTGAAAAAGTCCATGTTTTCCTATGGCCGGGAAACCCAAAATATGTGTCGGATCAAAAAGTAAAATAGGAGGTGCACAATGGCAATATGTAATAAAGATTCTTTAAAAGTTTCATCACATTTCATTCAGTGGTATGAGAGGAGTTGCGGATAAGAGATGGGTACCCCAAAGCGTAACAGACGAACGGACGGACGGACGGAATTAACGATTACTATATACCCTCCCGCTTTTCAAGCGGGGGGTATAAAAAAGAGAGAAAAAACACGTATGATAACCTAATAATGAAATAAATGAGGGGAAGAAATTATGGAGGACACTCCAACAGAATAATTCATATATTTTAATATAAACATACAGAGTTTTTTAAGTGACATAGCATCTTGTTTTGTCATCAGTTGAGAAAATTTAAGTATATTTGGTCTAGTAAAGTAGTATTCAATAATATACTTTTTTCTGTTGTTTGACAGTGCAGTACATTCAAGTATAAAATGGAAATGTACAAAGTGTTTTTTTTTTAAATCTTAATTTGCCGAGTGGGGTTTTTTTGTCAAAGGGAAATTTTATTATTAAAACTAGAGGTACTGTGAGCAATGAGCTCACTAAATGATACCCCCCGCCTCCCATAATGTCGATGTGTTGCTTTATATTGTTTTACGGTAATGTGTAAAGAGGAATAACTCGTCTATGAAATGTTATCCAGAAATTTCTATTATGTGACGTCATAGGTAAACAAAAAATGACAATGTCCATGTTTTGCTCTGGGAAACCTAAAATACGCGTCGAATAAAAAAGTAAAATAGGAGGTGCACAATGGCAATATGTAATAAAGATTCTGTGAAAGTTTCATTTAATTTCACTCAGTAGTATAAGAGGAGTTGCGGATAAGAGAAAAAGCGTAACAGACGGACGGACGGACGGACGGACGTACAGACGGACGGACAGACGGACGGACGGACGGACGGAAATCCCGATCACTATATACCCTCCCGCTTTTCAAGCGGGGGGTATAAAAAGTTCGATGGAATAATTAAATTCTTGCCAAAAGATTAAGTAAATAAAATCTAGTAAATTTTTAATGAATTAAGAGTATTTGGGAGGAAAGCATAATTTATATAAATATATGATTATTTAGAAAAAAATTCCGCCAAAAGTTACTTCTTTCAGTACGTCGGCTAACATACGTGTCTATGACGTCATACACAATAAACAACCCATACGTTTTATAATGGTGCATACCAAAGCTTATTGCTGGAATTCATATAACAGTGGAATATATTGCGAACTAGAACAAATATGCTGTGGAATTATTCCAAATGAGTATTGTTGCGGGGATAGCGGGGGAGATTCACCTCCGGGATTTGTGATAGCCTTTATTGTGATTGGTGTCCTGATTTTTGTGTTTTGTTCTGTTTTAACTGTGATACGATGTCTATGCAAGAAACAAACCTTACCTGGAACAGTTGTGGGTAAGAAAAATGAGTTTAATATCACTTTTACATTTAAAAAACAATATTGACTACTTCAGTACTTTAAATTGCTCATTCAAATAGTAGACTGTAGTATATATTTGATAAATCTGTAATAATTTTCGCCAGGTACTGGTGCACATGGAGTTCAAAACCAAATCTACCCTAAAACCGTGCATCCACATCGTCACATCGTGCCCCCACAGACAGCGGGGATGAGGGGTAGGGCTGCACAAGGACAGGTATTCATCTCTCACCCTCAACACTCCGGACAACCATACCAGCAACACCCTCAAAACTATTCTCCGCACGGGAGTGGATTACCGCACACAGGTTCTCCAAACTTCCAGCAACATCAGATGCTTCAATCTATGCAAAACACCACTCATTATCCACCACAAAGACACCCTCTACCATCGACAGCACCGCCAAAATACGAAGAAGTAATTGGACTACATGAAACTGAGAGACCGTATAATGTTCCGCCAGAGGTCGCTTTACTTCCGGGTCATGTTCCGCCTCCTTTTGAATACAACCCTCCCTCGCTGCCTCCAAGATCGCAGCTTTACAACAATAAATGAGTATCTGCCAGAAATTGTTTTTGATTTACCAAAAAAGAAAGAAATATTCTTTTTAATATTTCATCATATGTTTTTGATCCCCCATCTGATTCAGTGAATTCTCATACATGTATATGAAAATTAGTGTTTCTGTAGAAAAAATATCTAACCATCCCTTTTAAAAAGATTAAATCCATTTCATATACCCCGGTATAATATCGTATATAATATAATAATTAGAATGTTATATGCAGAATTAAATTTTGGTCTTAGTTGTACGGTCTTTTGTAAAACGTGTCCCTGGTTCCAACTGTTAACTTCAAGCAAGAGCTGAATGAATAGCAATGCTTCATGAATGTTTTTGTTAACATTCATAAAATTAAAAGTATGAAAAACCGAAACAACTGTATATTATTCATTTAAAAAAAGACAACCGATTCTCCCAAATTTTATATTATGGAAAACATTAAACGGTGTAACTTTTTACTTAGACAACGAACATTAACAATTTCCTTATTTTCGCAACTCAGTGTCCTAATTAGTGTACTACAGTACCGACCGGACACAACCTAACACCAGAGCGAACCCGGAGCAGACCCCGGGTTCGCTTCCCGGGTTCGCTCGGGGTCCGCTTCGGGTTCGCTTTCAGAAATTTTGGGACCGCTCCGGGTTCGCTTTGGGTGCGCTCCGGGTTCGCTCCGCGTTCGCTCGGGGTCAGCTCTGGGTCCGCTAGAGCGAACCCGGTGTTCGCTTCCTGGGACCGCTTTACGCACTGATGCGTGAAGCGGACCCCGCTTTAATCTCACCGCCTGTAAGCCCCGCCCCTTGTATATTCCAATACAGTAATGATATTGTGGATCGATCATTGTTGTTTATGCGACGATGCGGACGTGTACACTGTACATGTAAACAGTGACATTATGGAGAACATTCATAAATTTTCTAAAATTAAACTGTTTATTCGATGTAGATTTACATGTACATGAATATTTCTCTATCCCGAGAAATTAAGAAGAGGAAGAAAAGAGGAGTGTTGAATTGATTTTCAATGTATCGAATGGTGTACAAGTGAAACTGACGAAAGAAATTTAAACTGAATTCCTTTTAAATTCATGCTTTTAAATTATTTAATTTAAAAATACATTTGTTATTCCTTACGTTTTGCTAAATCGTAGTTTGAATGTTAACTAAACAAATGAATTATAATATGAATCGCATCTATAAAGAACATATAACCTTTTGTACATCTGATATACTTAGATTTCATTTATAGTAGTTACACATTAAAAGTTCGTAATAAATATTTACTGGACATTTTCTAAAAAAAAAATTAAACTGTATATTAGATCTTTTTCACGGTCAAAATTTTGGAGCGAGGATGATTTTTATCAGAATAATGAAAAAGGCAAATAATAATTGTTCTCCCGACCCGATAAGAATATATTTATATGCCCCCTATTTAACCCATATTATCTTTAAAAAAAATCTAATTATTTATTTATTTTATTTATGATTTCACAATGTACGTGTTACATTAAATTATTCAAAATTTACATCAAAATTATTGATCTTCGTAATCTTCTTGCATGGGCATGTAAAAATGCGTGTATATATAAAACTCTTCCTTCTGGATGCACAGATTCAAGTCATTCCGCTCTAATGGTATTAATCACCAGAATAAACGTGAATTAGACCTAATTTCTGATGATTCCTGACTTAACAAGATTATTCTTTCAATTTTGTGTAACTCTACAGTTAGTTTGCGTTACCATCTTTCGAACAACCCACATAACTATGCATTGCTAATGCCTTTAATTTTTTTCCCAATAATTAGTCCTAATATAAAACATTTCAAAATTTAAAATAGATCATAATTCATATGTTAAAATATCCCTTCTATGATATATTTCTCTGATAATTCTTTGTCCAGTATAGTTACGCATTTTGAGAGAAAGAAACAATGTACGATTTACTAAATGTCGTGATTAATAAGCGTAATTAATTCGTTCAATTATGTAAATCGCACTTCACCTGAGTTTACCCCGATAACCCAGGCGTACTTTATAGCGGTTCGGATTTCTTTATTTAATAGTGTTTATATAAATTTCCAGTTCAACTCGAGATGATGAAATTTTACAATAATTGTCGAAGACCAACTTTATTTCTTTTCTCCGCTTTTTGTCAGTAAAAGTAGTAATATCAATTGAGTTCCATTTTTATGCATTGACTGATGTATTTACCCAATTTATTTAATTAATTGCTGTAATAAAAAAGAAATTAAATATTATGAAAAAATATAGAATACAACCCGGAAAATTAAGATATATAAATATTAAATGATATTTTAATTAGCGCAATAGATTAACACCAGCACATTCACACGTTTTATTTGTATGTAAAGTGTTTGGATTTATGTCGACCTAAAACAACACGTTCGATCTTTTATCCCAATCGACAGATCAATATGCTATTTTGATTGGTTGATGCGCTGATTAGTTAATCGCTAATCCTGATTGACAGCTCTGTAAAGAAATACCGAAGCCGCGTTCGCTCTCTGGGACTGCTACTGAATTTGGGGTTCGCTCTCTGGGTCCGCTTCGGGTCGCTCGGGGTCAGCTACGGGTTCGCTTTGGGTGCGCTCCGCGTTCGCTCGGGGTCAGCCCTAGCGGACCCCGAGCGAACCCGGAGCGGACCCAGAGAGCGAACCCGGGGTCCGCTCCGGGTTCGCTTTCTGTTAGGTTGTGTCCGGTCAGTACTGTACATGTTCCATGTGGGGATCTATGGAATATTGTATATGGAAGGAGGATAAAAAACATTGAATCCTCCATCCCATCCCTTCTACCTTAGATTTTCAGAATTTGTAGCATCTATAAAACTAAACATAACCCTTAGGCTAGTTATAGATAAGTTGTCATTAAATGTTCAAAAAGAATTAAAAAGAAAAAAATATATTCTAGTACATCCACCATTATCGAAAAATAGGAGCAGAATATTTAGTCAAGTCATCCAAATTTGATTAGGAAAATGCTGTACCGTGGAAAATAGTTGGTGCAAACGCCTAATTTACGAATGATTGCTGATGGACTCACAAGAGGGGCTATACATACGTGTAAGTAATTTAAGAATAATCCCGAAGGAATTCGAACCACAAGGGAAAAATGCTTTCTTCGTTTTGTTAGACACGGTGTACGAGATACTGTTAATAGATTGATAGGATATGACTAATAAAAAATAGTCTCTATGTCCGAATTGCAGCGACAAAACTGAAGCATCAAAAAAAAGTTAACTGTAAAAATTGTTTAATATTTTTGTAGTTTCAGAACTGTAGCTCTCCGAAAAAATAATATATTGACAGACCGGAGAGCTACAGCGCAACTCAAACTGTATAATTATTCATTGCGCACAAAAAAGTGCGCTGTTCCTCAATTCATTTCTTCATGTTTTTAGATCTGTCATCTCAAAATATTACTAACCGTGTGTTAAATCCTAATATATTCTTTGACTCATTCCACAACAAAAGATTCCTTATAATTATTTTAAAGCCCACCTGGCCCTGAAGTTAAGATCATAAAAACTTTTACTTATTTATACATGTACTGTCATTTTGGTTTGTAAGATAATTCATTCCAACGCGCTTCGTACAGACGTACACTATGAGAGTACTTGATGGAGGGGGGAGTAAAGGATTCATTTGAAAATAGCTTTTATTGCAATTCAGGTAAGAATTTTGAAGAATTAATCCAGAACCGTGCGCAATAAATTTACAGTTCTTTTTTTCAATGGGGGCATTGTAGCTCTCCGGTCTATCAATAATTCAGTATATTTTTTTTTCGGAGAGGTACAGCTCTGCAGCTAATATTTTAGGTAATACATGTATTTATACAGTAATTTTTATCAGTAATTTTTAAAGTATCCAGCATAAATGACATACTAAGTGGGAAAACTATCAAAGAATATCGCTCCACCGTGCCGCCTTACTTTTAATTTACAATGACGGGTGATTAACTGATTTCTCTTCAGGATGGTTTTTGAGAAATGCTGTTTCTGTCATTTGGATAGCCTATTAGAGATCGACGCAACTTTCTTTCTAACTGAAAAAAAATTTGTTCCGATTTGTAGAAAATCATTGATTCGGGTTTTGGGGGGTTTTCGATAGCACACAAACACTGACTAAAGGGAAGGAACCGCTAGAATGTTCGACAAACTGCAGCCCATTTGGAAACGAAAGAAATAGTACAATTTTTTGGTGTTTCACTGCTGCTAGAAGAAACCTAAAGCATAGAAGCATATTTACTGCCAGAAATTACAAAAGAGGTGGCAAAGTACAAAATCTCTATCTATTTTTGGCATATGTGTAATTTCAGAGATAAATCCGCATTAGAAAAATATAAGGGCGGATCTAAAGCGACATCACTAAAAAACCACACTCAGCTTTTGACGAAACTTCTGAAGGATTGAATAATTCGTCTTCATTGATATTTTATTTTACCGCGAAGCGTTGGCATCATTGATTGACGTAGAAATACGTCATACGTAAACAGCGGAAATATAACGTCTGTCTTACGTAAAGCAAACGCTTTTAGAAATACGTTTACAAACTAAGATGTAAACAGGACATTTTATTCCTGTAACTTCTTTGATCTGCACCTTACCTGTGATAGGTAGAGCGTCTATGTCGACGTTTCTAGTGACAGTGATTGTGCTGTGCTTGCTGATTTTTGTGCTAGCTATCATTGTGCTGCTGCTTCGATGTCTTTTCAAAAAACAGCAGCCCATACCGGGCAGTGCTACCAGAGTCGTAGGTAAGAATTTATATATGCCTTTAGATCAGTTTATTCTGGGGTACAAAACGTTGGGTATATAAGCACTCCTGTTTTGTTAAGCTTAGTGGAAAGCCTGTGGGTAAGAGAATAAAAGGATGTATATGATCGATTTTGGCAGGCGAAATAATTGAAAATTTACTTATTTAAGATATAAAAGAAATCATCTAACTATAATAATTGAAACTAAAACAAATATTATACATGTACATTGATGAAAATTATGCGTTTTTTCACAAGGTGTGCGAAGACTTTCAGCGGACAATGAGACGTACCATGTTACAATGTTTCCACATAGTTACATCCTAACCCCTCAAGAAGCGGAGATGATAGGGGACCCGGATCAGCCCATACCTGGATTTCTCCTTTCCAACCCCAAACACACGACTCACTCAGAAAATGAACCAGCGTCAAGGTCAACCAATAAAAAAACGCCAGAGATCGCTCGTCCATCCAAGTCACGTGACAACTTCTTTTGAGAAACGTTACATCAAAATTTAATTGTTATATAATAGTATGCAGTTGACCGCATGTTAAGCAATTTTTGTATAATTTCAGTACATAATATAATTAATTATATACAAAATTGTCAAGAAATAATTAAGTTATAAAACAAATACATGTAATGTATTACAATTTTATAAATGATGAAATAAAAAGATCTAAATTTTGCTAGATAACTATAATGATTTGCATATTATATACGTAACAAATTTTTGCAACCAATTATGAAAATTTTTCTTTTTAATACGTCAATGTAATTACTTACAAGTTTAAAAATTCTTTTTTATTTCTTTAAATGTACGTACTTTGTGTGACTAAATTTGTTCATCATTTTATTTATTTTTTTTTTATAAATACCACACATTTTTTTCAGTTAAGATTAATAATTTTATGAATGTAAATAGATGGAGTTTTATGTTTGATATTGTGTTTTGAAATGCAAAAATCGTCATATTGGCGCAGTTGTATTAAAAGAAAGATAACTCTATTTGCTTTGAGTGAATTCAGTCCGCTACGAGAGCTTGTCCGACAAGGTGTTGCTAAACAGAAACGCCCCCATTTGAGGGCGAAAATAAAACAGATAAAAATCTTCCAGAAAACAGTTGAATGTACGTAGAGAAACACCTGTCAGCTGTTTCATATTGACTTAAAAATCGCCTCCGGCTTCTAATATTTTTTTAAATTAAAACAGAAATTTATATAAGATTAAGAATTTCAATTTGAGTTTACAGGTTATTGCCTAAATTGTATTTATAATTATATTCCATATGTATATGAAAAGTATGCGAATTTAGCTGTCATTTTGACGTCATATTTTATGTGTATGACGTAACAAACGTACTTATTCATTTTAAAAAGAGATGTTTATGTGTTACGATAGATATCGTGGAACATTCTATTGCCCTGGAAATGGCACATGTTGTGGAAGTTCTGGAAATCAGTTTTGTTGTGATGAGAAATACAGATCTTCAATTACGTCACGAGATGCTTTTTATTTCCTCGGAGTGCTCGGATTGATATTCTTGGTTGCAGTGGTGGGAATTTCAGTCTTTTGCAATTATTTGAGAAAGACTGAACGACGCAGATCATTAATAAGTAAGCTACTGAACAAAATTTTTTTCATGCGCTTTTGTGTATAACCTTATTATTTTGGAAAAAAATACTTCTAGGGGACCTTTATGTTGTTGGTTAATACTGTGTGAGTGTTTTAAACATTACAGTTCTCAAATACAATTCAAACTACATGACCTTTATATTTTTTAAACTTTGAATCAAAAGCATATTAAATAACATTCATTATATAAATTTGAAACTTAAATTTCATTATTGAAAATAAAAAATATTCAAATAAATTATAGGTTCAAGGACGACCCGAAGCCTTGGTGAGCTGACAGAGACGGCCTCGCAGACCGAAGACATTAGGCAGGGAACCTCAAGATTGTCGCCGAGGGCTTCAGTGTTCCCACACAATGTTTATGGTTCGACATATCAGTACAGTTTGTCAGGGGATCAGAGCGGGGCACAGACAGAGACACACACTAATCAACAGAATACTCCCCCGAGCTCTGTTCCGAGAGAAGATCCGCCTCCTTACAGCCAAACGTTATAGGAAAATTAATGAAATTACGTCGCTTCACATTTTATGTCATAATTATATTTTATTACTGAATATTCTTTGTTTGTTTTTCAGTAAGTTTTAGAATTATTTTGATAAATTATTTAAACTATTTCTTACATGTAGACCTTTGTTAAAGTTTACGCAAAAAATGAAATTAATCTAATAAAACCATGGACTCACTTTCTTAAAACTCTTACTAATCAATGGTGGCTACAAAACTAAATCTGAGAACATTTTGTTTAAATTATCCATTTCTATAATAAAAACCAAGTACAATCATTCAATTTGTATATGTATTATTGTTTATCCTTTATTTAAACTGTAGACTTTTTTTCGAAGCATGTCCTTTCTCCAATCGTGACAGAATAATAATTCTATCAAAAGTGGTTCGATCGAGAGATACACATTAACCACGGGTATTTAAACCAATTATCCATGGCCGATCAATACATATTTAGGTGTATGATCGAAAAAAAAAATAATCGAACCACGGCGTTTCGCCAATAATTTGATAGACCTTTAAATATTTCCGAATCAGAAAGTGCTTTTGCGCAGTCTTAGGACTACGCTGTAGTTAATCGGAATCATGGATTCCTCATATTGGATACTGACTTTACAAGCGACCCTCTTCTTTAGCTTTATAAGTAAGTATACTTGCACATGTGTAGTTATCATCAATATGTTTGTTCTAGATGTGTTAATCATAGCTCTCGTTCTTAAATTTTAAGAGTTGCAACCTATTGCTAATCCACAACTTGTTTGCATTTCCAACAATGGGTATAATGATATGATATCCGCATTTTATTATCTTACCGAAATATTCAATCACATATATCAGGGCTTTTAAAAATGAAAATTTTGTCAGTTAATATTATAAACACTGTTCATTACAATATATTTCAGTAAATCTACTTTAGTTTCTATTCACTTAACTCACATTATATTGTGGTCTCCTTTTCAACAAGAGAAGTAAAGAGTGACTTCTACCGAAATTGCCCAAATGTCGACAATTCTATTTTATTTATGTGCGACGGTGTGTGTTTGGTTGAGAGGGTATGTTTTTGATGGTGGTGGTGTGTGTGTGTACGGGGAAGAGGGGGGGGGGGGGCAGAACAGTTCTCTAACTTTAGAGGCCAACTTTTTTAATTCCTACTTCTTTCATTACCCATTTTTATGCATACCATACTACATATCCCTGATATCACTTTAATGTAGTAAAAAGTTTGTGTGTTGGGGGGGGGGGGAACCTTTCAATGAACATTTTCAATAGTGAAAGTAATTTTGGGAAATAAAAGGGGGGCGACAGACACCCCCCCCCCTTCTCGTTGTTATATGCCTGCTATGGGCCTGTGAAATAAAAGTAAATGTTGTTAAATTGATAATCGTCTAAAAATAAAGTTGTCAAGATTTCAGTTACACAATATATACAGCTTTTTCTATTGCAACAACTACACTATATTAACAATACTCTAATATCTGTACTTGTAATTGTTTCCAAAACTAAATACCTACCCATTTCATTGGTTTGAAGCGATATGAAATAAGTAATAGATCTATCACCAAATCTATTTTAGTACAATCAATTATTGCATTGTACGTAGAAATCGAAATAAAAGTTAAGTATATTTGAAAGGAGTCGAGTAATATAGGAGCCGACAATATTCAAATGAAGAAAAGTTTGAATATTGCTCTGTTAAATTTTCAAAGTGCGTAATTTTTTCGAAGTGCGTTGCCACATTGCTCGTTTATAGACGTTAGAGTATATCTAATAAAAATGAAAGGTGCCGTGAGCTATATGAAGTTGGCGATATTATTCAGTTGAAACATGTAGCCATGATATTTCCCATTTGATCATAAGACATATATACAGCTCAACGCACTTATTAAACTTACATTATGATGGTTTTTCGCACAAATTAAGGTCACATTGTTATAATGCAAAATTGAATAAAGTGACAACAATATATTATATATCTTAAAAGTGATTTATAGCTTCATTTTGATCTTATTCCACTACTTTAAACATAATTCACACATAATAATTGGTAGGATTTTTATATGCTCTTGGGTGATAGATTATGACAGTTCCCAAATAATGTTTTCATGGTTTCTCGTCAAATGCAGCCCTGTTTGTATCCGTTAATTTTAAAGCATTCCTTTGCCTTGCCTGTATACAGAAACAGTGCAGTTCATGCAACATCTGTATTTTCTGAACATTAATGTGACACCAAGGCGCAAGATGATAGAAGTATTTCTCATCTGTTCGACTGCTTTCCGTGTTAAAAAGATGGCATTTTTTCTAATTAACTTTCTGAAATCTAGCTTCATGAAAGATACCTTCCAACGAAAAAATTATGGGTTTTTTTTATGCAGTTTTGTCGAAATTCAGCGCTGCATTTCGACAAAACCAAGACAAGTATGGAAAATGTGCAAAATACTTAATAAAATACTGATCTCTAGGAAGTCAATTTGAACATTTCAACTAAATAGTATCAAGGAAAGCTCGATTAATTAATTTGTGAATACCTATAGTAGAATCATACACATGTAACATCATACATGTGTACAAATAAATTCCCTTTTAAAATATCGAGTTTAAAACTTAATGATAATGACTTTAGAGAATATGCAGCTTTATCAAGAAATATTTAATAATATAGCTGTTATGGCTCGTACTGAAGTTCTATAATTTTAAGTTTTACTGCAAGAAAAATGTGACTTTAATTTGTGCGAAAAACCATGTGAGTTTAAAAAGTGCGTTGAGCTGTATACAAAACACAAGCACTTGTTTCGGTAATAAATTTTTATCCATTGTATAATAATAACACTGTTATTATTATACTATGAGTTAAAAAAATATTACCTATTGGAAACAAGTGCCTGGGATACAAAAATAGAAAAACAGAATACTTAGAGAATAAAATTAATCAATTATATAAATAAACTGTAAAATGATATAAATTTAAATCTCTAATTAAAAAAAAAAATTAAAGAATGTTATATCGAGGAAATCAATTTTTTGTACTAATAAAAATATATATGTATCAAAGTGTCAATTTTGGGGGAAATCAGAAAAAGAAAAGAAAATCAGTGATATATTTTTTTAACTGAAGGCCTTTACAAACTATTAAATTTGGTTCCTTTCTTTTTTCCTGAGAAACTTACGGATGTTTACATGTACTTTAAATTTGATCAGTGTGGTTATCAGCTGACCTGTATGGGATCATTTCTAATGACGAAATATATACGATGTGAAGTGGAGTGACCTTTGTTTATTGCCGATATAAGTATATTGTAAATTTCTTCCTATCTCTAAAACTCATAAATCTACTGATCAGCCAAACAAGAACACGATTCTTATTGTTATTTACACTTCCTGTATATTTTTAAAGACAGACAATACTAATTTCTTTAATTTGTCAGCTGCATGTTATTGATAATTTCTGTTTAAAATATCTTATGAAATCCATATATAGTAAAAATTCAAAATGAATACTGCACTTTTTATAATTTTCAATTTTCGTATATGAAAGTTATAAATAAATAAAGTTTATTGCTCTGAAGGTAAAAGATACGTATATCTATTTTTTATTCTCATGAAATAAAATTCAAACTTGCTAATAATTTTAAAGTTTGCACTTGAAGATATATTATTTGACCACTTAAATATAATTATCAAAATAACTTAAAAACTATTTGTTTAAAATTAGTTTTACAAGAACCCCGTACAAATTACACATATCCTAGATAACTTGCCAATTCTTGACAAAAAATTACTCATAAAATTTCAATTTTAAAGAATTGTTATACCATGCGTTGACGGGAATGTATTTTTTTTAATACATAAAGAGTCTCTTTGATTTTAAATTTTCTAACAAAGGGTATATTAAAAAAAGGGGTTAATACAGGCTACATTACTCACTTGAATATTTTTACTAGAGAAAAGCAGAGATAAGCTTACCCTTAAAAACTTAATATTATTATCAACCCTCGACCCCATCTCTCTTTCTCTCTCTCTCTCCAAATTGTATATATGGTCCAATGATATCCCCCAGAGGGATCATGCTTCAACGTACTAATAGATTTATATACTGAGGATACTTCCATGTTTTTTCAGTAATTATCATGACCATTAACAATTTTTAAAGATTCCTTTATACATCACTTTTTTCCATAAGACTCATGCTTAGCACAGAATTGAATTTATTCTATATCTTAGGATGCTGTCATATAAGTATGACTGACTATAATTTTGCTGTTCTCTAGAATTAAAGTTTGTGAAGATTTTCCTGTGTATCCCTTATGTAAAATTCACCCATCATTGGCCCAACGCGTAATGAAATCTACACAACCTATAGGGATGCTTTTGTAGTCATACTGTACCTTGCCTTTGGTGTTCTAGAAAGAATTAAAAGTCCTACATGTATATAAATATTCCTATGTAAAATTTTGATTGTTAGTTTTAGCCTTCCCTAATCCAAAGAGTCACTATAACGATTTTTTTTAGCCAAACTTGAATAACCTTCGCCCAAAAATTCTTTTGGAAGTTTAATATAAGGCCCAAAAGTTCTTGGATAGAATTGAAAAAAACGTGTCAAGTTTAAAGACGACACACGGCATGCAGACACCAGACACCCATCTACATGTATCTGAAAAAAACTTACTTGAGACTTCAGCTGAAGGTTGGCTATTAAAGAAAACTCATTATATATATATTAAGATAACGAACAGTGTTCAAGCTCAATAGTCCATCGAAACAATATAAATCTGAGGCAGAACACCTCTTAAACATCAGAAGTGGGATAAGATGCCATAAAAGAGTAAATATCTCCTATCGGTCACACCCGCGGTGTCCTCTTTTTCATAAATATACCATACGTAGCAAATTTAACACAAATCAATCATTTCAATGTTGACTGTGACACGAAATGACGAGAAAAAACGTATTAACGTATATCAGAGTCAGCACTTATACATGCATTTAAACCATTTTATTCTTACCCTCTGCAGGTTTAGTTTACAGTGATGACGACTGCGACGATGATGACGACGACTGTCCAAAGTAAGTTATCGATTTTTTCAAAACTGGGATTACGAGCCATGATACTGTTGACTGTTTACACTTGAATTATAAAGAAGCTATTTTTAGCTCACCTGAGCCAAAGGCTCAAGTGAGCTTTTCTGATCAAAATTTGTCCGTTGTCTGTCGTTGTCGTCGTCGTTGTCGGCGTTGTCGTTGTAAACTTTTCACATTTTCATCTTCTTCTCAAGAACCACTGGGCCAATTTCAACCAAACTTGCTACAAAGTATTCTTGGGTGAAGGGGATTCAGGTTTGTTCAAATGAAGGGCCTCACCCTTTTCCAAGGGGAGATAATTATGAATTAGAGAAAAATTAATGACATTTTTAAAAAATCTTCTTCTCAAGAACCACTGGGCCAGGAAAGATGAAACTCATGTGGAATCATCCTCAGGTAGTGTAGATTCAAGTTTGTTCAAATCCTGACCCCCCGGGGTAGGGTGGGGCCAAAATGGCCGATCAAAATTTTACATAGGAATATATAGGAAAAATCTTTAAAAATCTTCTTCTCAAGAACCACTGGGCCAGGAAAGATGAAACTCATGTGGAATCATCCTCAGGTAGTGTAGATTCAAATTTGTTCAAATCATGACCCCCGAGGGTAGGGTGGGGCCAAAATGGCCTCAAAGTTTTACATAGGAATATATAGGAAAAATCTTTTAAAATCTACTTCTCAAGAACCACTGGGCCAGGAAAGATGAAACTCATGTGCAATCATCCTCAGGTAGTGTAGATTCAAGGTTGTTCAAATCATGACCCCCGGGGGTAGGGTGGGGCTACATTGGCAGATCAAAGTTTTACATAGGAATATGCAGGAAAAATCTTCTCATTGAGACATGAAAGATGAAACTCCTGTGGAATCATCCTCATGTATTGTGGATACAAGATTTTTTCAAATCATGACCCACGTGGGTAGGGTGGGGCCAAAATGGCTGATCAAAGTTTTACATAGGAATATATAGGGAAACCTTTTGAAATCTTCTTTTCAAGTACTTCAAAGCCAGGCTTAGTGATATTTATAGGGAATCATCCTCAGGTAGTGTAGATTCTAGTTTGTTCAAATCATGACCCCTGGGGGGTTAAAATTTCAGGTCTTCAATTCCTAATAGGAAGAAATTCAATGAAATTGAAGACATAACAGATATGTAGACATTGAATACCCAGTTTATTTAGACATACTTCCCATTTATTACTATAAGTATGTTTAGTGGGATGTGTCCTGATTCATGACCTTGAATTTTGGTAAGAGTTATCTCCCCTTCCTTAATTAAAAAAAAAATCAATTAAAAAAAAATTAGCTGGTAAAAAAATTGTTTTCAATTATCATTCTATTTTTAATATTTCAATGCATCTTTCCACCACAGGATTTATTGATATTCAAATTATTTGAATTTTCATTTTGAAAAAACATTTTTTCCCATAGACTTCAATGCAAACTTTTGTAATTAACTACTGCTTAATTAATGAAATTTTTAAAACTTTTTCGCGGTCAATCCTTTTCAACTATAAAATGCTTTCATATAATATCAGAGTTTTATGTACTTGACGGACAGTTAAGGGTAGAAAATTTGGTCCCATTAGGGATGGAAATCCTTAAGTCCCCCTCCTCAGTAAACTTTCAGTTCTGATATCATACATGCTTTTTCCTAGCCAATTGCTCAGGTGAGCGATGTGGCCCCTGGGCCTCTTGTTTAACTATCCATTAAGTAGCCATCTTTTTAACAGAACATTTAAATGCAGGTTTATGTCATTAGAGAATGCATGTATTGTATGTAATGTATCATTTAATTTAACTGTTACTACGTATAAACCCCCCTTATAAATGTACATGTGTATTTCTATCTTTATTCTAGAGGCAGTGGAGTGGTAATACTGGGGATCATCTTTGGTTCTATAGCAGGCATTCTCATCATCTTGATCATAATAACCGTCGTTTGTGTCAAATTCTGTAAAACAAAGAAGCATGGTGCCGTGATAAGTCCCGGAAGTGGAAATACAAGTGAGTAGTACAGATTTGTTGTTTGAGTTAAATTTTTGGTAGACTAAAATTTTTTTTTTAATAATATGGACGCCACAAAGCTAAATACACTGTACCATCAATGAAAGAAAAAAAAATCATGAAAGGCAGCAAGGCACAAAAGGAATTGGTCAGATAAGGATAATACTATATGTATTAAGAAAAAAATGATCCACAGAAAAAAAATTATGAATTCATGAAAAATACATGGGATGAAACTCTGCAATTCAATTAACTGAAACGTGACCAAAAATTCACCAAAATGTGACTGAATATCTAATGAAAGGTGACTGAAAGTTTACTAAAAGGTGGCTAAAATAAACTGAAAAGTGGCAGAAGCTCTCCTGATTGATGATTGGATAGCAGATCTCTGCAACCTAGCCACCTTTCTAGACCCATAAGTGACCAATCAGTAAAATAAATGACTGAGTTTCGAATTGTAATGGGTAAAATATAAATACTTTTTTAATGTCAATGTACGAAAAGTACATCTCTATACTATTTTTCTCTATTTCAGATCCAGTTTCTCAAGGATACACACGCCCACCTCATGTCTACACCGTTGGATACACATATTCCTCCCCAACCGCCCCTACCTATTCAGAGGTGACCTCTCAAACGTTCATCACACCCTCCACTGGTGGTTTCCACTCCACCACAGAAAATGTACCACCACCGCCATCTTATGAAGAGTTTTTATCTAATAGCACGTCACCACCAAAATATTAGTATCTTCTGTCACATGAGAACTTGTCTTCGCTGCTGTGCAGCATCATTTGTAAAAGAAAACAACAGATCATGGGCGTACCTATCGTTTTTCATTGAATCTCTCAGTCACTGTGCCACTTTAAACATTTTTGTTAGAATATGAATAATATTCTGTTGTTATTCAGTTTTGTTTTGGATATATCTATAAGATGCTTTAATCTAGCGGATTTTCTATCATGATGAATGTTCTTGATATTCATCATTATTTCTAACGTTAACTTAAAAAAGAAAGATCTGTACATATCTAAGCAAGGTTGTTTTGCAGATAAGGCATTACATTTATTGAATGTTTGTTCATTCATATTTTGTATTTTCAAATTGAAATTTATATGTGTGTTGCCAAAACGGGTTTTATCGAATTGAAGAGATATTAATTGTATACCTATTATAATATTATAATGAAAATCCAAGACGGAGAAGTTTATTTAAGAATGTGTACACTTCAAACTTTTTTTACACTATTAATCAATTTAAGAAATTAATTAAAAACACATATCAAACCTAATAAAAATTCAATTTGTAGTAAATAAAGCGATTTTCATTTTTATCTTTCATATCGGTGTTTGGACCGAAAGGAACAGAGTCAAATTCCAAAAGAATAAAACCACGTTAGATCAAATTGGTTCATTAGCTTGCTTCAGAACTTGCTAATGAGTATCCGGTGAAGACATAAGCGCATATGCAGGTGACAGTAGAACACTACTACATAAATAAGAAGGGAACCAGAAGTTTGAAAGGCGGTTGTCTTCTAGTATGCCTAACAGTTAAGGTTTTAAGTAATCTAATATATAGTCAGCTTCAGATATGAAGCTGATGTGGCAGACCCTGTTGTGACTTTCACTTTTACGTTCACTGGGAAGACAAATGTCAAGGAATCACTGTCTAGCTTGTTGATTATGCCAAGGTATAAACGACAGTAGGTAGTCTAGGATAATGTGAAAAACATGTTACATGTATGGAGAAATGTCCACTTTACACGTTATGAATTTATGAAAAATGCATGGGATGAAACTCTGCAATTCAATTAACTGAAAAGTGACCAAAAGTTCACCAAAATGTGACTGAATATCTAATGAAAGGTGACTGAAAGTTTACCAAAAGGTGGCTAAAATTAACTGAAAAGTGGCATAAGCTCTCCTGATTGATGATTGGATAGCAGATCTTTGCAACCTAGCCACCTTTCTAGACCCATAAGTGACCAATGAGTTAAATAAATGACTGATTTTGAGTTTCGAATTGTAATGGGTAAAATATAGATACTTTTTTAATGTCAATGTATGAAAAGTACATATCTATCTTATTTTTCTCAATTTCAGATCAAGTTTCTCAAGGATACACACGCCCACCTAATGCTTACACCGTTGGATACACAGATTCCTCCCCAACCGCCCCTACCTATTCAGAAGTGACCTCTCAAACGGTCATAACCCCATCCACTGGTGGTTTCCACTCCACCACAGAAAATGTACCACCACCGCCATCTTATGAAGAGTTTTTATCTAATAGCACGTCACCACCAAAATATTAGTATCTTCTGTCACATGAGAACTTGTCTTCGCTGCTGTGCAGCATCATTTGTAAAAGAAAACAACAGATCATGGGCGTACATGTACCTATCGTTTTTCATTGAATCTCTCAGTCACTGTGCCATTTTAAACATTTTTGTTAGAATATGAATAATATTCTGTTGTTATTCAGTTTTGTTTTGGATATATCTATAAGATGCTTTAACCTTACGGATTTTCTATCAGGATGAATGTTCTTGATATTCAGCATTATTTCTAACGTTCACTTTAAACAGAAAGTTCTGTACATATCTAAGCAAGGTTGTTTTGCAGATAAGGCATTACATTTATTGAATGTTTGTTCATTCATATTTTGTATTTTCAAATTGAAATTTATATGTGTGTTGCCAAAACGGTTTTTATCGAATTGAAGAGATATTAATTGTATACCAATTATAATATTATAATGAAAATCCAAGACAGAGAAGTTTATTTAAGAATGTGTACACTTCAAACTTTTTTTCACTATTAATCAAATTAAGGAATAAATTAAAAACACATATCAAACCTAATAAAAATTCAGTTTGTAGTAAATAAAGCGATTGTCAGTTTTGTCTCTATTTCGGTGTTTGGACCGAAAGGAACAGAGTCAGATTCCAAAAGAATAAAACCACGTTAGATCAAATTTGTTCATTAGCCTGCTTCTGAACTTGCTAATGAGTATCCGGTGAAGACATAAGCGCATATGCAGGTGACAGTAGAACATTACTACATAATTAAGAAGGGAATCAGAAGGTTGAAAAGCGGTTGTCTTCTAGTATGCCTAACAGTTTAGGTATTAAGTGATCTAAGTATATAGTCAGTAAAACGTTCAAATATATAGTGATGTGGCAGACCCTGTTGTGACTACACTTTTATGTTCACTGTGAAGACAACTATCAAGGAATCACTGTCTAGCTTGTTGATTATGCCAAGGTATAAACGACAGTAGGAAGTCTGGGATAATGTCAAAAACATGTTAAAAAAATGTCCACGTTTACAACTGTTGCATATTTTCCTGGCATACCCAGAATTATAGACATTGATTCCTTTAATTTACATGTGAAATTGTAATGTAAGTAAATATTAGGTAAAAAAAGTTTTCTAATTGATAAAAAAAAACACGATGCATTTCTTCTTAATTTATTAGTATACAGACGTTAGAAACAAATATAACAACGAAATATTGAACTGTTTATTACTGACTTAACCTTTCACTCGGCATTTTTAAAATTCTATTGTTATTGACGAGATATGAACATAACTAATGCATAAGACGATATTTCAGAAGTAAAAAAAAAACATCTTAAAGAAAATGCCATCGATATATCTGAATGTCGAGTTGAAGGTCACAAGAAGTGTTTCCTTCATGAAAATGAAACATTATAGAAATAAAGAACAGTATACAAGATCAAATGTCCATTAAACAATGCGAAAGAGGAGCATAGCAAACATGGACCTACAAAACCTCAGAGGTGGGATCGGGTGCCAAAGAGGAGTGAGCATCCTCTTCGGACCGGTCACACCCTCAGTGTGCTCCTCGACATAATTGGGAAATAACTAAAAATCCGTCGTCAATTCAGTGTATAAATGATAGACTAACAATTACTTTTAAAACCGTCAGTCAGCTTTTGACTCAATCATAAATTGTATTTGCTGACAAGGTCATTAATTGACCATAGAACTTACGAAATGATGACTTTAAACGAGACTGCTAATATTTTGTTTCATAAACTTGTTTGTCAATAATTTACCTCGTTTTAGAAGTTGTTAATATATAGCCATGCTCTTGCGTATCGAATCAACTGAGATATATAAACTTTGTATGCAGGTTATGAAGGTAAATTGCTGCATAATTAAGGGAAGTTGACGATTTTAAGTTAAAGTCATCACATTTATCATAGAGCTTGGTTATTAGATTATCATTGTCTTTTTCAAGTAAAATATGAAACAGATGTGTCAAACTCTGTGGTATCTTTTATCATAAGCTCACCAGGATATTTCGTATCGACATATAAGAATGGTAGTAAACATTATTAATTGAAAAGACGTTTTCAATATTTCTAAATGTCGAGTTGCAGGCCACAGCGAGTGTTTTCTTCTTTTCACGTATAAGATTTTGAATAATTTCTCTCTCATATAGAAGTCTTGACGTTTTTTTAATACATGTACATCATTTTGAGACGGAATTGCAATGCGTAAGTCAAGTAGTTTGAACTAAATTTTATTTTAAATGAAAGTCTTTAAGTCTCCTTTAATAAAAAAAAATAAATGTTCAGTGTCAATTTAAATTCAAATGAAATCTTACGTCTAACCCTTTAAAGTGTTCTGTGTTTAAGGAAATTATTTTTTCACTAATGAGAATAACAATTAGGAAATTTCTCTAGTGTACATGTATATATTATATGCTTTAAAATAGACATGGTGTGTCGAAAATGTATGAAAATACAAATCCTGATTCGTGGTCATTGGTTTCCGGTACTTGTACATATTGCAATATTTTTGAAAAAAGAGAAATAAACCATAACCAATCTGTTAAAGTCAACCCAAGGAAACATATATTTTATTTTATCGGAGGAATTTTTTTCGAGTCGTTCAAATATTTTGAACTGATGCATGTAGATAGATAAATTTAAATGATGCTTTCAGTGTTTAAGCTCTTCATTCTATGGATTAACTGCTGTGTTACTTTACTTTTCGTAAATTTCATAAAAGGTAAGTCTTTTTTGTTAGGCTTAAATAAGTAAACAAACAATATATAGTCTAAAAATACTTAACACTAATACGGTAGATGCAGATGAATCAAATTATTTTATAGGATAAAAAATGAGCTTATTCCATGTTGATCCAATACACTTGAAAAGTTGTATTTTTGAATTGTTTAGAAGTTGAATCTCAAAGATGTGAAGCACAACAGTCTTCTACAAATGGTTCATTTCTTGCAAATAACGCTTGTGATGACGACATGGAGACGTATTCTTTAACCGGGGATGACGCAAACCAGATATGGTCAATGGCACTTGAAAGGGCTCGTAAAATCTTTTGGATTTTCCTTAGCATTAGTTGTGGTAATTTGATTCGTAAAATATCAAGACGCTTCAAGATTTCTACATAAAAACTGCTTTAACATCGTATGCATGTTTGAAAATAAACAGCTTTTAAATCATTTTTTCCAATGCAAACAATTTACCCTGTGTTTTTCTTATTTTAAAGGAAGTTATGATATCCATGTACAACTAAACACATCTAAAATTCAAACTTGTAATCATATCGAGCGAATGTGCAATGTAACCAGTGAGGCTGAAATTGTAACTTGCAACTCTTCTGGAAACATGTTTGGAAACAAAATCATCATAAAGAAATTAGATTACGGTGTTCTGCAAATTAGAGAAGTCAAATCAATAGGTATAATTTTTTCGGATTAAAAAAAAAACTTATTACAAGAAAATGCTTGCTTTCAGGGGTGAATGATTTGGGGTTTGATTTTCATCATTTTTTCCAAGGAGGGATTTATTACTGAAAAATTAAAGTTCTATATATTTTTCTCTATCCTACCCTTTTCATACATAATTAAATGGTTTTATAAATTTTTTTTCCTCTCGCGACTAGATTTTTCCACCTTGCAAGAGGTTGCAGTAAAAAAGCAGTCTATTGTTCTCAAGGGGAAGGATGCTTTTGATGGCAATCTAGATTCCTACATTGTAACAAAGGAAAATATTAATGCAAAATGGTATATGAGTATGGAAAAAACGTATGGTATAAAATGGATACTTATTTCCATTCGAGGAGGTACTGCGTTAAATTAGTTCATTTACATTTCAGAAATCTTAACAGATTTCCTAGACATTATATATTATGATTAACTTTGATTCTATATTTAATTAGGGAATTACGAGTTGCACATAACAGCTGAGAATCAGACCCTTCCCGATGAATTGACTCTTTGCCGAGTCTTTAATTTACTTAACCCAACTAAAGCATATCAGAATATCATAGAATGTGAAAGACAAATGACAGGAAACTCAATCATAATAAAAAGGACAGATGAAGGGCCAATTAGACTGTTTGAAGTACATCCAATAGGTAATTATTATCAAATGTACATGTATCAGTAACAAATAACGCACTTTTTAACCTTTAGTTACCAAATTTTGTTATAAGTAGTATGCTTGAATCTATTTGATCAAATTAACATCAAAGTTATGTCAAAAAAATGACCAGCCATGGATTTTCAAACGGATATACAACTAGAGCAAAGCTCGTTGCAAAGCAACGAGTAGGTCTTCCGTCCTGTTTGACCGGAAGTAGCTTTCATTTTTCACAAAAATGAGAAATAACGCCCAAAAATGCTTTGAATCCTCTAAAGCTATATGTTAATGAATGCAAAAATAAGCCATTTTTTGCTACTTCCGGTTTGACCGGAAATGATGATGACGCACGGAATATTAATTTTTAAGCTCCCAGAGACGTATGTTACCCGAAAACTTGTCAAAAACGGCAAAAATACGTGTTTTCCGACTACTTCCTGTTTGGCCGGAAGTGACGACGCTGGACGTATTTTGACAACTCCATTAGATTAAGTTTGACATTTTCAACTACTTTGCTTCTTTAATGTATAACAAATTCTCAATACTTTTTGAGATATCTGGAAAAAAACTTTGGCCCCTCTAAATCCCTTAATTAAGGGGTCAGCCCTTTTTCGACATATCATTTGAAAGATCTTCTAATTCTGAACAAATTATGTTCCATATATTTTAACAAAATATTTTTAGTTTAGAAGATAAAAAGCAAAATATGAGTAATTTTTGGTTCTTTTAAGCGTTCTAATTTTTGACCCCTATATAGCGCCATTTTGAATAGAGAAATCGAAAAACAAAAACCGATGTGCACAACTTCAATCCTTTTGTTATCTAAAATCAGTAGAATTTCTGCTCCAGCTTTAGCCGTATCTGAGCCTTTGTCTGGAAACGAAAGCCTATAAATTTTCGTTTAAAGGGAAATAACTCAAAACCGGAAGTGACTTTTTAAAATTTAAGTCAGCATTCTGATAGAGTTTATAAACGTCTATAACCTCTGAAAAAATGAGCGAAATCTGTTGAGAAATGAGTGAGATATGAGGCCTCAAAGTTGCGGTCTAGGAAGTAGAAGAAAAAAAAGAATAATAATCTTTACCATCAGAATCAGTAGAAGGTCATCCGTTGGAAACGGAAGACCTTAATTAAACAAGTCCTTTAGTCGCTAGAAGTGGGGGACGGCGGGTATAAATTTCGGTCTGTCTGTGCCTCCCTCTGGCTATCCGTCTGTATTTATGTCTGTCTATAGCAATTATCTTTTGCAATAAAATTTTACTTAACAACTACCTTTGGCCTGAAGAACACCCTTATCTATTTTGAGGTCAAACAGTCAAAGCACAAGATGGTAATTAATATCGTCTGTCTATGTGTTAAACTTTCATTTCCATATGCGTCATATCAAGCAGCTTTTGAGCTTTTTCAATGAAATTTTATACAGCATAACTTGCTATTGCCCCGCTCTTTCTTCCCAAAATGTCTTCTACTCACAATCTAGATCCGCGCATGCTCTTCTTTTTTCTTTAGACAGATTCCTTGAATTTTTTGTTTTGTATATTCCATGCTGCTAATTTTGATGAAATTTATTGTAGTTTGTCCCGCTTACCATTATGGAATAAATTGTGCTAAATGCAGAAAGGCGTGCGTTTCCTGTCATCCTGTATCAGGTGTATGTAATCATTGCTTTGGACCTTTCTTTGGTGACCTTTGTCAGTATCAATGTCCAACAACGTGCCTGAAAACATGTGACCAAGAGACCGGAAGTTGTGACAGCTGTATTGATGGACATGGTGGAAAATACTGTGAACTTCAAATGTCTACAGATTGTAGGTTTATAAATCTCTATTTAATCAAACCATTTTTTATGTTCTTTCTTTCATATTCCTTTTTGACGTCTTTTTGGTCTTTTGTACATACACTAGTGTATATTATTCCTACATTATTCATTTTCACACGTAGTAATTGTTATTTCAAATAGGAACAGAACTGTCATTGGATTACCTAAGAATCAAACAGGAGCATTCTTAAAATAAACAGGAATCTATTTAGTTTTGTGTATAGAATTAAATATCAACTGTTTTATCTAGAAAAAAATCTAAGAGGAGATAATTATAACTTATTTACAAACATCATAGATTGATATCAACAATCTTGCAAATTTTATGGTGGATCATCTTATTAGCAAAAACAATTTATCATTTAGTCGAGCATTGACTGAAAATTTCCTACAAAAAATTAACCATTATTCATACTCCAGTGTCTAGATATTTTTTGTTTGTCCCATCAGGAAAAGGAGCATATGGCGGCATGAAACCTGATTCTATTTCCGTTCTACATGATTTAGATATCTGCGTTTGATTCAATTTCCTTCCATTTTTATAATGATTACTGTTTATTGTCTTAATTTTCCATTGTATTAATTAAGCTTTGCTAATTTCAATTGATAAGTAAGATGTCCATTTTTTCGAGTAGACAAAAAAACTGAAGCAAATTCCGAGCAGAACAAGTCTAGTACTGTTGTGATAGAAGAACTACATGTAAGAGGTATTGCCATTTATTTCAATATAACTTGTCGACCCCTCTCGTCAATTTTCCCGTGTTTGTCGTACATTTTAGAGGCAACGATAACATAAAGCGCAAGATACCAATTTATGATATTTACCAGGGTATAGAGGTAATCTTTTTTCTTTTGTATTTTTGGTCTTTACAAAAAAATCCTGCATTTTATTCAATGATTCTCTTGAAGAAAGAGGTATGTACTCTTAAAGATTAATCAGAAGTCCATGTGTGTGTATTACAAAATTAATTTTTATGGGCTTGAATTGCCAAAAGTTTTGTTTTTAATGCGGGCGTTTAGAGTACAATCGTGTTTCTTTTTTGAAGATAGAGATGATAAAGAAGATTCAATTCAATTCCCAATCCTCCTGGTGGCTCTGAGTGCATTGGTTCTTTTATTACTCCTGGTTATCATTTTTCTCTTCGTATCAAAGTAACGTTTTTTGATATCCTCAAAAGTTTTTTTTATGAATTTTGGCATTTTACAAGTGATTATAAATCATGTTTTATTAAATTAAAAATACTTGCAGATAAGAATAATCATGGCTTCTAAAATATTTTCCCATTTAGATATTTTCTTTCATTACCCAATAAATATAATAAAATTTATAGTTTACATAATGTACGAATTAAAGTAAATAATTTGAGACATTTTTTAATTTTCAATATAAAAAAAAGCATTGCAATTTTTTTTTTCTTCGGAATCTTAGTATTCGCTAGAAAAGAGTACCAGTCTTATAATATTTATACAATACGATATTCTCGTTTCAGTTTCATTTTAATGCTTTATTTGAAATGTTTTTCAACGTTATAGGCGGAAAAAAGAAAAGATTAACATAGAAGGGGAAAGTGTTTTAGCCATCAATCTTCAGAGATCAGAGTCGAGAAATGAGTCGGATCTAGAGGAGATTCCTCAAAACGAGGCTAATTATGTAGAAGAGGAAGTCGTGGTCGTCGAGTACAGTAATCTGACGTCACAGAGGGTCTCTTTAGATCAATTTATAAGAGAAATACCAGACAAAAAGAGCAGTGGTATACTAGAGAAAGAATATGATGTACGTAAACGTTAATCTTTTTTTATACTTTCTCAGACGAAATACTTATTGACAATTGATATTGTATTTAATGTCTGTAAAACAAACTTAGACAGTATAGTTTGTGATAATCATTTTTATGAGTAACAGGGTCTTGAGAGAAAACCAGTTATTATTTCGGGTTCATCCTTTAGTCGAGTGCAACGAAATTATACTGATAATCATTTTATCCGATTAATATCCCCTGAATCCCGTGGATATCACTCACTGGTTTTTTTGGGATATCCCACAGCTGTTACCTCATAATGGGTTTTGCATGAGAGATATGAAGTATAATTAAGTGGATTCCTATTTTTAGACAGAATAGAAAAATAATAGCGATGCATAATTCAATGGAAAAAATTATCTCCCAAGACTAATGGTTTAAATTGAATTTTATCCAATTCGTTATGTGTTTTTTTTAAAACCCTTTTCAAGCCTCAGGGATAAAAACACGCTGTAAGTATTTAATTGCAAAATCGACTTTTTAATTTAATGAATGAATCAGTTTGCTGTTTACATTTAATAATAGGACCTTCCGAACGGATTATTGGAATCTTATTCGGACGCACTTAAAGCTTTGAACAGGAAGGGGAACCGATACAAAGGAATCTATCCCTGTCAGTGCAATTTCTGATCATTTTTCAATTGATTTTTTCATTTGATTCTCACCTTCAGATACCCACCTGGTGATTTCGTCTTTCAAACGAGCTCTATCACCTATGGGTATCTGCCTTTTTGATTTTATGAAATCTGCGTTCATTTTTTTGATGACCATAATCGTGTAAAGTTGGTCAGAGACAGAACAGAAGAGAATGAAGACAATGATTTTTTTAATGCTTCGTACATTTATGTCAGTATTAAATCAATTTATTGCATGCATTATACAAAGTATAAAAACTTTCTTTAAACATGTTAAATAAGAAGGAACCTTTTTTTCCCACGTTTTAAATACCATTGACGATAAAGGAAGAATTTATTGAAGTTGTTGCAGTTTATTTCTGTGTTTTAATATTTTATTCTAGGGTTTCAACAAGGAACAAGCCTACATAGCTGCACAAGGTACATTTAAGTTTTATTAATGAACATATAACTTAATTTCCTCAAAGTGCATATATGAGCAATTCTTGAACTTTGAGCAATTAATGAAAATTATTAGTCAATTTTAATACTTCCTTTTAGTAAATTGAATGCATTTAAAGTTATTTTAAATGATCCTGTTATATAATCAAAATAATACATAAACAAAATCTGAAGAAAAAATGTCTGAGGTCACTTTTGATACAAAATTAAAAATTATGCGTAATTTTTTAATGTTTATGTTTTGACTTTTTATTCAAGGAGAGGTGTATTTAGGCATTGCCTCTGTTCCAATTATTGTTTCATTAAAATATTATTAAAGTAATTATATAAATTAACTGATGATCTATCAATTAGCTTTATGTAAATAGGTCCTTTCAATCCTAAGACATTAGAGGATTTCTGGACAGTGATATGGCAAAACAACTCAACACGAATCATTATGTTAACAAGTCTGTACGAAGGCGATAAGGTGATGGTCATCAACAAACTTTTGCGAGGAGCGCTGGCTGGCTTTTACAGTTGACTTTTTTTTTTTTTTTTTTTTTTTTTTTTTTTTTACACTTTTTTAAAGCACGGATAAGTTGCCTATGAAGAAAACGACAAGCATATTACCCTTAACTCCCGGTCTTCACATGTTAGTGTAATGTGCAAAACACCATTACTATGACCACTAGAAGTGTTTTCTCATCTATTATCAATTCTAGATCTGTACCTCCGTAGGTGATACAGGTGTAAATGTCCAAGTAATTCGACAATTGTAAAAGTGCTCCTCGCAATAGTTCAACATCAATATAAAACGTTTACA